GCGCGTGTTCGTCATCGCGAAAACGCAAACCCCGCTTCTCGAGCGTGTATAAACCATCCTTACCAGGTTCTTCTTGCGCAACCTGCTCTTTTTCCGGCGCAGCGAACTGTTTCGAACGACGCGGCCGTCGTGGCAAATGATCGACTCCTCCAGCAACGTGGACGTTGAATTGTTGAACGATTTCCGTGATCCTCTGTAATTTAAAAGCGGCCGAATGAAAATACCACGGCGGTTCGAGGCGCGGAGGGAGAGAAAGATCGAGAGAGCCTCTACTACCTAGGCTGCGACGTCGCGGTTGTCGGCACGCGATGGGTCGGAATTGAGCTCGATGTAAATCGATTATGGCGTAACCGATACGGTGCGCGTCGATACGGTTTAAATTACGCGCGCCGTCACGATATTTTCGTTTATCCTTCGTACGGACTGCGTGGGCCGGTGTGTTTCATCGCGAGCGATTCACGTTCGATATGACGGTACGATTTTCAAACGAGAACAATTGAAATAAAAATACAACGGTGTCGTTCGTAGCGACCTACTCCAGTAATTTAATTCAATTTCAAAATTTAACCCTCGTTCTTACGTTCGATTACACGCTTCAAGTCCTCGGGTCAAAAAAGACCCGAGGACCGGAGTAGGGTTAACCTCGAACTTCAGCGATTCAAACTAAAATCTAACAATTTCTCCGATTGGTCCATTCCAACTATTTACACGGAATTCTACAATAGAACGGACGATTAATCGTTTGAAAAAAAAAGAAGAAGGAGATAAGTACTTACGTTGCGTCAAGGGACACGGATTTAGTGGGCGGAGTAGCGATTAACTGGTGGAGCGCGGTTTCGCTGATGGAGAATTGCGAGATCGGGTCGTTTGTTTGATTCAAATTCGAGTTGTTCCCGATTTGCGAGATGCAGGAGACGCTCCACGGCCTGGGCCCGTTCGTTTTCTGTTTGGAGCGCATCACGACTTTCGGCGTGCTCGTGTCCAGCATCGGGTGTGCCTCGTTGATCGGCGTTTTATCAGCGTCCTCGTTGTATATTTCTTGCGACACCGACTGGGACGTGCAACCGAGTGCACCTTCGAATCGTCGATACGTCGCAACGCTGCTCTGTAGATCCTCCGATGAAACTGACTGCCTCTCCCCGTCGGATTCTTCTGTCGTGTACTCGCCGCTGGCATCGCAGCTATCCAACGGCTGTAATTCGCGCTGATTACAATTGTTACGAAACGTTATAATTCCCCCTTAGACCTCGTTACAACTGACGCGCATGATCAGACAGACAATTCGGTTACTCGAGAACGCTTTAGATTCCTTCGCGGAATCTCCTGCTTCTCTTCTTTCCCATTTTTCAACACGTTTTCAACGTTTTGTTTAATTACCGTTAATTACGATTCATCGAGGAAGAAAGAAGTATAGTGGTAGAATGTCTTGTTTCTAAATATTTCTAGACTAATAACAATGTAATTAAACTTATAATTTGCATTAAGTATCGCGACAAACTATTTACTCATTCACGAAGAGAATCATTTATCTACAGAGAAATTCCATCCTAATTAAGCGGCGCTAAATTCCGCTCTAACACGGTATAACCTCTCCCGATTAGCATGAAACGACCTTCCCTCCAATTACGAAAAAAGGCAATTATAAAATCCCACGCGATTCTACCGTAAAAGGCGCGTGTCAAGCGCGAGGTCCACCCCGCGACAATAGCGATAATTACGAAGAAAAAAAAAACCCACCTGTGACGTGGATCGTCCATCGTGGCCGCGCACGGAGTTCAGCTTCAACCACTCCTTGATCCTCGCGTACTTAGCGCGATGATTGTTCGTTATACCCTTCTTATCGTCGAGAATTAGCTGCGGGAACGTCTTGAACGCGCCGGTACGCCTCTCTTCCCCGACCAACTTCTCTACCTCTTTAATGAGCCTCTGGATGCTAGTCTTGTCGTTTCTCGTTTCGTCGTCGCTGTCTTTCTCGCGTTGAGAAGACGCGTCGGTTTCGTTTGAAGTCTCGTCGACACCCTCCATATTGGGCGTCTCTTTCACAGGCTTCTTCTCGCTCGTTTTCGTATTACCCCCGACGTCGTCGTCGTCGTCTTCTTCGTCTTCGTCGTCCTCGTCGTCTTCCTCGTCTTCTTCGTCTTCGTTTCGCCGAGGTGGATGTTGTTGCTGGGTTTCACCGAAGTCCAGACGCACCAGCACGTTCGTTTTTCGCGGTTGCGTCGACACGTTGTCCGTCCGCGACGACGTGTACGTCCATTCCTCCTCCGACGAGTCCTCCGCCACGATCGCCGCCTCCTCGTTCTGCTCGGAGTCGGTGTCCAGGTGGCGGAAGTAGAAGGTCGCGCAGTTCTTCGATTTCCTGTCGGACCTTAATGCGAAACGACACGGGCTCAGTGACGTGAAATTCTGATCGACCTTCGTTCTTATATCGTAATACGAGGCGAGATTCGAACACCGTTTTACAGAGAGGGGAGATTAGTTTTCTCGGATTTGTTAGATGCAGTTGCTAGAGAAATTTTCTGGATCTGTATCTGCACACGTGGGTTAAGTTGATTACGATGGTTACGTAGCGAAGGGTTTATTTGGAGAATTGAGTTTTTTGTTTTGGTAAAGTGTTCATTGAACTGGTGGATGCTGCTGGGATGTCGAGTGGTGCGTGGGCTAGCAGCGGTGAACCAGGTTGAACTTTCTGGTTAGGTCGTTTGGTAATTTCGCATTAGGAGAAATGTTATTGTGAAACGTTTCGTAATGTTGTTTAACTGCTATATAATTGTGTTTGGCGTGAGTCATTGATGGCTTGCATATGTTAAACTTTGGGAATTTGAATGTTTGGGAATTTGAATAATTTGGGAATTTGAATATCTGGGAATTTGAATCTTTGGGAATTTCAATGTTTGGGAATTTGAATATCTGGGAATCTGAATCTTTGGGAATTTGAACACTTGGGAATTTCAATGTTTGGGAACTTGAATATTTGGGAATTTGAATATTGGCGAATTTGAATATTTGCAACCTTAAATATTGGAGAATTAGAATACTCGAAAAATGTGAATATTTGGAAATGTCAATATTGGAGAATTTGAATATTTAGGAATGTGAATATTTGGAAATTTCAATATTGGAGAATTAAAATACTCAAAAATGACAATATTCGAAAGCTGAAGCTTTGGTTCAATCAAAAAAGTGTCACATCATCCAAATCTCCGCTACAATCAAGAAGAAAGTAAACACAACATTACAACACGACTCGAACAGAAGTTACAAAAAAGCACACGTCAGAACTTTCCAACAAACCCGACACAATAGGTCTCACCGAAAAAATGGTACCATTTGAAAAGAAGTGACTCTAGGACAAAGAAGAAACGGCGAAAGGGTATAATACCCAAGCACGCTTTCACCGAGAACGAAACACATTGGCACGAACTTTCCGGACGACCTAGTATATTCGTGCATGTCAACCGGTCGCCACACGCCCACGAGATAAAAGCCCGATAAGGTGATCTTACGTGTTAAAAGAGGCGACCTCCTCAGTTGTTCTGCGACGTTTCACCGGCTCGTTAGCGGCTAGATTGCCATTCGGCTGTTCCACGTTTCCGGGCTGGCCGTCGATTTGATCGCAGCTCTCCACGATGGCCGTCGAATTTGTCATTGGTACTGTGTCGGGTGTCGGTGGCATGTCGTCGACTTCTTCTTCTTCCTCTTCTTCTTCTTCACTTAATGCGTCCTCCTCGATGTCACCTTCTTCACCCTGATCGCCTAACGTGCTCGCGATTCGATTAATTTCTTGGGGATTTTCCACTCCCTCGGACTTTGTGTCCATTACACACAGCTGACATAGTTCATCCTGCAACCACACGTTACCAAATCTTTCTTTTTTCACTTATTTATCTTCGTTTTCTTTTATTCAACGAAGTTTCACCGTAATTCTTAAGACAGTTAGAAAGGTGGATTGGAAGAGAAGTTAGCACGTCGTGGTAAAAATATTTCGAGATCTGTGTTCTTCTTTTATCGAACCATGGAGAATTTTCCTCAAGTGTTCGATCTCGAAGCAAGCATGATCGACTGTGAGAACCGCACGTTCGCATATCTTCCCGGCGACTGCGTGTGCGCGTCGTTCGGCCAGATTATCACGATTATTTTCCACGATAAGAAGTTAATTATCGATCATGCCGCTAACTGGCACGCTAACGCAAACAGCGGTTTCATTCGATTAAAATATTGCGACTGATCAATTGAACGGTTCTCTGTTTCACGGCAGACGAGCTTAATGGAAAATTTGTACAAGCGATTCTCACTCAAAATTTTTCTTTATTAAAATTATCGTTCGATTTACCGTACAGTGTTCAGAAATACTTTCTACAAATACAGTAACTTCACGTTGCGTAAACAAAGGAACGTTTCCTCGATGTGGATTTTATCGAAGAGCGATTCGATTCTTTCGAGAATCTAAAGCAGAAAGTACACGTGACACGCTGAAAGGAGACAAATTTTCGAGATGTACCGAATAAAGTTCGCGAAACAGAAATCGACGATGAAACCAGAAGAAGAAAGGTTCGCCTGATAAAATTATCAAAGCGAAATAGCAAGGATTGGCAAACTCTTCGAGGAAATTCTTCGACTATCGAACGCTCGTTTGAAGTAGAAATAAAAAAAAGAAAAAGAGCGCTCAAGTGGCATACGCGCGTGTCTGATTCATTTTGTAATGGCGGCGTGTATACGTGCTCGTTTCGCGGCAGATTTCATTCCACTTAGCACACTCAGTGCGCCGTTCCATTATTATTTGTTCCTCGACAAAACGGATCCTCGCCGGTGTGCTACATAAAATCGAGCGTGATGCAACCGTGAAAATTTCACGCCTCGAACGATTCGCGTTATCCACGAGGAGGAGACTCGTGTAGACGAGTTTCGTTCGACTGCGCTCTCCGTCTTAGCCGACGAATCGGCAAAAACGTCTCGATCGATCGAGCAGAGCAAGAAACACGCCGACGCTATTAAGATTTCAGGTTATAGTTGTTTTCACTCCTGCGTGGTTCTTGCCGCGGACTATGGAGATAATGTAGGCAATTCGCTTCATTAATTCCCTCGATTTACGTCCCGCTGGATTATTTCTAACAACACCCTGTGGGAATAATCAAGTGAGGGCGAAAATGTCTCCGCGTTATTTTAAGCAAAGGTTATTTTAAGCAAATCGATCACCTATGGAAATGGTACTCTAACTATATTGGAATTTATGGGCTAGATCCGCGTTAAACAGCCGTTCTTGCCGCGTGATTTTTCACGCCGAGTCTCTGAGAATAGGCTCGAGGAGAGGGAGTAGAGTTATTGGAGTCTTGGGTGCTCTCAGAGGTTCGATGATTTAAGAATCGTATTCTTAATTGCTGGGTGGGTGGTGTTAAGTGAGTGATAAGAATCTTCATTGGGGAGGATAATACACGAAATGGAACGAAGAATTGTGCTTCGAGGGTATAAGAGTAAGTGTGCTTATGAGAGTATGCACAATTTTGAGAATACAGTGAAATGTTGTATAGTCATTGTTGGATTATTTCTAACAACACCCTATGGAAATAATCAAGTGACCACCAGATGTGTCTGGTGTCCGTCTTCGAGTCACGCACTGCACAATGCGATACCATAATGTAGACAGTTCCTAGGTACAAGGGGACCCCAACTTTCCTTTTGGGTGCCCAGAAACAGTCCTTTAGAAGATTCAATAGCGTAAAGACGTTTCCTCTGAGTCCGTAAATAAATAGCATATTACAAAGTTAAAAGACTATTTCTTTCCATAACCCATTTCCAATACGTCCACTCCTCCTCCTTCGACGCGCATTTTCACGAACAAGAATTAAGAAAATTTTCTTCGGTGTAGTGTAAAGTGAATGTTCTTATGGGATAGCAAGTGTGAGAGTGTGAGATGAATTTGAAGATATACCAAGTTGTGACAATTGAGTCTCGTGAAGATGGAAAAATTTTTCAAACTAGAAGAATATTTTGGGTGAAAATAATTTGACTGAAATGATCCTAAAATGGTGTGAAATATCGACATACGAGAAGTGACAATAAATTTCATAACGTTGATTTGCTTTTTGTAACAGAAAATTTCTGGAATTCGAAGAATATTTTGGATAAAAATAGACGAAATTTTAACTGGATGCAATAAACGAGCTGAAATTAAATAAGCTGCTAATTAAACAGATACCGCAAGTGCTCTAATTAAATTTCTAATAAATTTAAGTCTAATAAAACGTCTGAGACTTTTAATAGATACATTAATATACCCATAAATGATAATGGTGAAATGAAATTAAACGATACGTGACGGGTAGTTGTAGAAATATACGGTACTAAAGCAAGTAAATTTAATAATAAGGTATAAATTAATAATCAAATAAAAATGTTCCACCTAATGAAACTGTCAATCGACAGATTTACCATCGAGATTTGGAAAGGCTTCGCAAAGCGAGTCAAACTGGATCGATCTAAAATTGCTTCCTCGTCGATTTTGTATCGTGGCAATGTTCTCGCGTAATCAGCTACTTTAACGAAGCAGTTTTTGAATTTAAAACCAAGTCGACAAGGTCAGATCACCTCTCAACATCCACCTAATTTATCTCCTTCCAACTTTTCCTATTTTCTGGAATAAAAGGAGTCAACAATCGAACGAATTTGCCAGTCAGTTTATGAACTTCAAGGCGATCTAAAGCTGAAAAATAAAATTTTTTTTAAACTATTCTCGAAACTTCACCGTCACGCCTGGTATAAAGCACCCCGAGGTAATCCTGGTTGCAGCACAATTTTCCCGCGAATTAACTAGCGGAATAAGGGCAAAGGAGAAGAAATTCGACCGAAAATACGTCGAAATTATTTTCATCGATCATTCGCATCCGGTCGATTAAAGGGAACAAAGGCGAAGACGAGGTGACATGACAAAATAATGGGACATAATAACGTGCGGTGTAACAAGAACGCGAGAAACTGGTTTCACATCGCGTAGGAAACGCTATGTTGCAAAATAAAGAGGGGGAGAGAAGAAAAACCGACTGAAACATAAAAGAAGTATTCGTTTCTGACTAATCACAGAATGGGAGGGTTGATGCAACGCGAGCCAATCGACACACCACGTTGTCCCGTGGCGTCACGTACGCGTAATTACTCGTCAATTTGAATTTTTATTCGACATTTCGCCTTGCAAATATTTCAACAAGGTAAAAGGCCCCGCGTGCACTTTCTCCTCGCGGAGTTCTTATTCCGCTCGAGCAGAGCAACGTGCTTCGAACAAGAAAGATTTTCGAACTTCCTTCGTTGCAAAAAAAAAAAGAAAAAAAAAAGAAAAAAAAGACGACGGTTGGCGAAGAAACAAAAAAGAAAAAGAATAAGGAGTACCGTTAGTTTGTTCGTTCGTTCACGAAGTCTCTCCCTCCCCCTCTCTTGTGCAACAGTTTCCTGAACTCGAGACTTTTTAATAATAACGAAGACAGCAGTTCCGTGTCGCGAGATCGTGGTAGAAGTGAAGCTTCTGTAACCTGATTTTCCTTCGATCGCGAGAAGAAAAATTACGGTTGAATACGATTTTAGAATAAATATAGAAAATAATTATTGTAAAATAAAATTGAAATAAATCAAATGAGACTAAAATACAGATAAATGGACGCGGTGTTATAAAGGGTTAACTGAACGAGGATCACATTGAACGATAAATCGTCTTGAATTCGACGCGTTTTTCCCGATTTTTCCTGGACTTGTTTATTAATGTACCGCGAAAACGAAAAGTTCGAGGCTGCCTCGTTGTATAAATCAATTTCACCGGCCAACAAAAGAGATGGAACGAAAGGAACGCGTTCCGTTCGCCGCGCGATCGCGTTGCCAGGCAAACGAAAAACCTGCTGGATCGGCGTTCGAAATATTGAGAAATATGAGTTCTAATAGAGAGCAAAATTCGCGCCGTGGCGAAAATTGAATAATTTCGTGGACAAGGTAGATTTGAGAAATTGCAAACTTACAGTCACTGGCAGTTAATAAGCAAAACTGTAATTCACTTTTTCGCTGCGGTCGCAAAATCTTTCGTTTTGGCGTTTAAAAATTTGTCAAAAATTTCAAAATTTATCGTTTCTAAAATTAAAGTGGAAAAAGAGTGTCAAGGGTTAAATTAAGGTGAAGGTGTGCGAAAAAGCGGGAATTTTCAAAGCGTCTGTAGACACCGAAGGAAATTTTCAAAATTTTCACAGCAGTGAAAGGGTTAATAAACGAAAGGCTGGGCAGAATTCTTCTTCCACGTGTCTCTTGGATACGTACAATGCGCACGTTAACAGAATCAGAGAAAACTAGATCTTCGACATCAAAGATTCGCCTTCCAAGGGGGGCAATTAATTCGTTTCCAACGTCCAGCACGGGGTAATAAATCAATTTCACCGGGCAACAAAGAGATGAAACGAAAGGAACGCCATGGAACCGCTCGCGTTCCACTCCACGCACCGTAATCACGTTGTTGTTGTCGTAGCTCGCGAACGATAGATCGTTCGCACTGGTAACGCGCGTGTGACGAATAACGTTACACCGTGTGTACGCTTAGTGCACTCGTGATCATTCCATCGACACTGTACGGGACAAAATAGAATTCCGTTTATAGCCTCGTTACTTTCCACTATAAACATCAGAACCGCCGAAAAAACTTGAAAAATTCGTTCGAATAAAATGGAACACGACACGTGACAAATTGTCAACCCATCTGATCGACGTCAAATTGTCGAATGTTACATTCTCTGACTCGAATTTCAAACTTGAACATTTCAAAGAAATTTAATTTCAGAAAAAGAATATTTTTGCAATCCGAGTCGAGGAAACCTTCGCGTTGCACACTACAGAAGAAAGAAATCGAAAGAAAAGTTGCACCGAGTGTAAAAGTGCTGAAGGCACAACAGTCGACGGAGCGTAGCGATAACTTTTATTCTTGGAAGAAGACAATGGCCGCTAATAAGGATCAGGGCCTCATCTCCATATTCAGTTGGTCCCTGAATCCACTTCTCCTCTACAATTTTAGAAGAGTATTCGAACATTTGGAGATATTAAGCGTGTCAGAAAGCGACGACGAAACAGGAACAATCGAACGGAAAGATGTATATCCGAGGATCATTGGTGGAAAACGAAAGTTGATAGAGCTGTTAGAGTCCAGTTGATAACTGTGTTACGCTAGGAGAAGAAACGAGATTGATACGTCCTGCTGAGTGCGTGAGACACCAATTATGCCTAATCTCTGACGTTTCTTCGATTTCGGTTGTTCGAGTTTTTACGAAGCTACGAAACCACAGCGGAGAACTTCGAATAACAATTAATATGAAAGTAGCGGTTTTCTCTTCTGAAAGTATACTTCGACTATCTTCAACATAGACGAGCGGAAAAATCTATTCTAATTGAACGACGATCGTTTCTACTCGTTGGCAGAAGAACAACCGATCTACCGTCGAAGAAAAATTCCAACCACCTTGTTCCTTTTTTTATCGTCGTAACACAAGAGTTTTACGAGTCACGTGACTCTGGATGAAAAAGCATTACGAAACTGAGCGTGGAATTCGTTCGATTCGATCAGCGGCAAGCGTAACGCGTGCATGAAATATGCAACACCAGTTCGTACGTGCTCGAAACGATACACAATAGTCGTTAGCTAATAAGGATCAAGTTCACTTCAACGATCGTTCGTGTCCATCCTCGAACGTCCAAGGTAGATTCTCGAAAAAAAGAAACAATTCGTTCAACACACGAAACCCCAAACATCCGCCGCACGTGTCAGAAGAATTTCACTGAAACTCGCCTAATTAACGCGTACTTTCCTTCACCAATTACCGATACTCGCGAGAGATGCGTAGCTTTACTTTCAAACGTAACCACCGTCGTCGAATCCGCAGTTCGATGGAAAAACAAAGGCACAGGGAACACCCAACAGTCTTCCGTGAGAACGAACGAGAAGGCTAAACTAAGAACGGTCCAGCACTGATCCATCTTCGTTAACGGATCCACGAGAAAACACGCACAGAGAGAGACACGCACAAGTGTATATACACACAAGTCACAACAGAGAGGTTCGTCAACCGAAGGAAGAACAGTCACCGCGTTAATCAAGCAAAAACTTCCTCCCGGCGACGCGTGCTCCATTGTTCCTCAGAAACAGTTTGGGAAACTGTTGCCATACCGGTTTCACGACTCGACACACAACCATTCTCCAGGTGGCTGCTCCTCTCCTCTCCCCGACCGAGTGAATCGAAGAAGGTATTACACGTATGTATATCCAAGTGTATTCAAAAAAAAAAGAAAGAAAGAAAAAAAGAGAGAAACTGTAAATAGAGAATTATCGTAGAGAGCTGGAGATGTATATATATATATTTGTTTGTACGTACCTCGAAGTAGGATCCGTCGCCTATAGATCGATTCTCAGAAGACGCGTCTGTGTCGGATAGATCAGCTCTGCTCGCGGCTGGATCCTCGTAGTATCGCGATCTCGTGGCTCTGTGGCGTTTCGAACGCGTCGAACGAGCCGACTGACCCGGGGATTCCCTTCCAGAACCCCGCGAGTGTCTGCGACTGAGTCGAGGCTGCTTCGTGACTGGCTCCTCGTCGCTGTCGCTACTGCAGCGGTAAGGCACCACGTTCTGAAACACCACGAACCGCCGAATCACTTCATCTGATAATCGCCACGCCTGCCCGCGGACTCGTTCCAACGATCGTATCGAATAGGTAAATCGGTCCGACGCGATGCTCGTGAGATTTTGAGTTAGTTTTGTTGGAGTTGCAGAGGTTCTCTGTTTGAGGAACAGTTGGAGAATTTGATGGTGATAGTTTTGGGACATTTCGAGGAGTTTTTCAGAGGGAATTGGAAGCTTCAAGAGATTTTTTCGGAGAGAATTTTCGAGGTTTGGAGAGTTTTTTGAGAGAGAATTGGAGGTTTGAAGAATTTCTTGAAAAGATTTTTTCGGAGAGAAATGGCTTTTCTTTGGAGGACATTGACAGTTTGGAAGATTTTGATTTAGTGGTTAATTGTGGAGTGTTCATTTCTGCATGA